AAAACTCTTCAAGCAGTGTTCCATAGTAAATTCCTCAAGCAGTTCCCCATAGTAAACTCTTCAAGCAGTGTCCCATAGTAAACTCTTCAAGCAGTGTCCCATAGTAAACTCTTCAAGCAGTTCCCCATAGTAAACTCTTCAAGCAGTGTCCCATAGTAAACTCCTCAAGCAGTGTCCCATAGTAAACTCTTCAAGCAGTGTCCCATAGAAAACTCTTCAAGCAGTGTCCCATAGTAAATTCCTCAAGCAGTGTCCCATAGTAAACTCCTCAAGCAGTGTCCTATAGTAAACTCCTCAAGCAGTGTCCCATAGTAAACTCTTCAAGCAGTGTCCCATAGTAAATTCCTCAAGCAGTGTCCCATAGTAAACTCCTCAAGCAGTGTCCCCTTTTAAACTTCTCAAGCAGTGTCCCCATAGAAAACTTCTCAAGCAGTGTCCGCATAGAAAACTTCTCAAGCAGTGTCCCCATAGAAAACTTCTCAAGCAGTGTCCCATGGAAAACTTCTCAAGCAGTGTCCTAAGAAAACTTCTCAAGCAGTGTCCCGTAGTAAACTTCTCAAGCAGTGTCCCATAGAAAACTTCTCAAGCAGTGTTTCTAAATTTCTTTATCAAAGCATCTCAGGTAATGCCCTTCAAATAATCATTAAGCGGTGTCCCAATGAAACTTCTCAAGCAGTGTTTCATAAATCCTTTTTTTTATATATATAATAATAGGTTAACTATGCAATATGTGAAGTGATCAATTTACTACGAGACAAGTTCCAACATATAATCATGCCAATGTCTTCCACCAAGACAGAGGTATCAACAGCAGATATGACTGCAGGACAGATGTTACTGTCAGGTTTCAATGGTCTTTTCACTCAACTGGATTCTATATTCTATGAGTTACTAGACTCATTCAATCAGCTGAACATTGCTACACAGTGGAACAAAGTTGATGTGATCAGGGAAGCCAGATCATTGCAGTGTTACATCTTCACAGATGCTACTCGGCAGATCTTGACAGATATCTTCTTTATTAAGCGGTTACAGGCCATCCAGGATTTCTTCACCTTGTGTAAACAATACACCATGAGTTTCAAAGGTAAACAAATATTTACTGTCAAGATTCTAAACAGTATTGAACTGTTCCTCATCCAACCGCATCAGAAAAATACTAATTTGTTTTTAAACATAAAAGTCTGTAATCAGGGACAAAAACATAAAAGTCTGTAATCAGGGACAAAAACATAAAATTCACTGAATTTTTCCCAAAGGTCATCTGTCTAAAGGACAATGGTCAATTAACACATACTGTAAATTACTTTATTTTCATTTGAATTAATTTTTGCTATTTTTTCCAAAAGATTGAAAATAAAATCTAGTGAAAATAGCCTGATGATTTACAGTACACATTTCGCCCAACCTCCCGCCCGCTTCCGGATTTCGATCGCTTTTTTTTTCGCTCGCTTTGTTCAATTCGACCGCGTAATTTCCGCTTTTTTTCGACCGCGCAAATCCGGAAGTATCCGCTCGCGCAATCGCTCGCCTGACAGCGCAACCGCCCGCATTTACAGTTCATTACCTACTGTTTCATGTACAAGTGTGTCATTTTTGTTGTTATGATGTTAATCAAAAATTTATAGAACGACCGTTGAAAAAATACGGTGGATCACACGGCCGTATAAAATTGGTAATAATACATAAGCGTAGTAATAATGTCCACCATAAACAAGATCGAACCAAACATGTGAAATCAAATACGACACTGACACAGACACAACTAATAT